AGACAGGGTCTCCCTAAGTGGCTAAGTTGCCCAGGGCAGACTTGAGCTTGTGATCCTCCTGCCTCAGACTCTCAGAAATCTGAAATTACAAGTGTGTGTCAACATGCTTGCCCAAATTTGAGCATCTTTTATTGGCCTCCTGTATGTCATCTTTTGTGAAGTACTTAAGTTTTTTTTTCATTTGGTATGGTTAATTTTTCATTGCATGCTTATTTAAATTTATTTTGATTATTATTTTTTATTATAAACTGAATATTGGTACATTTTAGATATACAATACAGTTATATGCATCATTGGTACCTTTACATGACGTATCTTGGTTCTTATTTTTTCCCCATTCCCCTTAGCCTCCCTTCCCCCCTCCACTCTTCCCTATTTACAAAGACTTTGTTTCCAATTTTTTCCTTTTTTCATTTTTTTATTCCCTCTTTACCTTTCCCCTACTCCTCCCATTTGCCCAATACCTTTAGAGCTTTTCTTCTTATTACAAAATATCAATTATATATTTTGACCCTTATTTACACTTTTTAGTTTATCACACCAGAGAAACTACATGGTATTTACATGTGTGTCCTATTAATTTCACTTGAGTATGACCTCATTTTGCTTCCACTTAGCTATAAATATCTCTAGTTTCTTGTTCTTTATGGCTGAGTAGTAGTACTCCATTTTATTTAAAAAAAAAAAAAGCACATATCATCTTTATCCAGTCTCCAATTGATGGGCAGTTGGGCTCTTTCCAAGTTTTAGCTATTACAAACTGTGCCGCTAAAAACATGGGTGAGCATATATCACTGTGGTATGATTCTTTTAATTCTTTTGGAAAGACACTCACCAGCAGGGGAATAGCTGGGTCACATGGAACCTCTAATCCTAATTTCTTTGAGGTATCTCCATATTGATTTCCACAGTGGTTGCACCAGTCTGCACTCCCACCAACAGTGAAGAAAGGTTCCTTTCTCCCCACACCTCTACCCGCATTTGTTATTAATTGATTTCTTGATAGCAGCCATTCTTTCTGGGGGAAAGGTGGAATTTCAATGTACTTTTCATCTGCATCTCTTGAATGACCAGTGACGTTGAACATTTTTTTATATATTTATTTACTGCTTTTACTTTGAGAATTGTCTGTTCATTTCAGATGCCAATTTTTGATTTGGATCTTTATATTTGGGGCCCAATTTTTTTGAATTCTTTATATATTCTAGATAGTAGACCTTTGAAACATCTGGTAAAATTTTTTCCCCACATTGTAGGTTGTCTGTTAGCTCTTTTGGTTTCTCTTACAGTGCAGAAGATTTTTAAAAAGATGAGATCCCAGTTGTTGATTCTTTGTGCTAGTTCTTGTGCTACTGAGGATTTATTCATAAAGTCTCTTCTTATGCCAATGTCTTCTAGGGTTCTACCTAGCTTGTCTTCCAACAAGTTTAATGTTTCTGTTTTAATATTTAGATCTTTAATCCATTTTGATTTTAGTTTAGTGTATGGTGAAAGTATTCTAGTTTTAATCTTTGGCAAGTTGAAATCCAGTTTTTCCAACACCATTTAGTAAAGAAACTATCTTTCCTCCAGTGAGAATGGTTGGCTCCTTTGTCAAAGATGAGGTAGCTGAGTATGTCTGGAGTTGTTTCTGCATCTTCTAATCTACTCTAAGTGATCATCGGGTCTGTTTCTTTGCCAATACCATGCTGTTTTTAACACAGTGGATTTGTAGTATTGTTTCAAGTTGGGGATTGTGATTACCCCCTGCCACATCTCTGTTGCCTAGAATTGCTTTTGTTATTCTAGGTTTCTTCTGGTTCCAAATGAATTTTTGTATTGTTTTCTCTAGTTCTGTGAAATTCACCATTGGGATTTCAATAGGGATGGCATTGACATTGAATTGTATAGCAGTTTTGGAAGTTTGGCCATTTTCGCTATATTAGTTGTTCCTACTCAGGAACAAGGGATATCTTTCCATTTTCTTATATTCTCTTTGATCTCTTTTTTTCAGTGTTTGTAGTTCTTTTGCTTCTTTTGTTAGATCAATCCCTAGATACTTCATTTTTGGGGATGCTATTGTGAAAGGAATTGTTTTCCTAATTTCTCTCTCAATAAATCTTTTGTTTATTCTCTACAAGAAGGCTATTGATTTTTGACTGTTTACCTTGTATCTTGAATCTATCAATTAAGTCTAGAAGTCTTTTGGTGAAGTTTTTGGGGTCTTCTATGTAGCATATCATATCATCAGCAAATAATGACAGTTTAACTTCTTCTTTTCCTATCTTTATTCCTTTTATTTCTTTTTCTTGTCTAATTGCTCTGGCCAATGTTTCCAAAACTATATTGAACAGGAGTGGTGATAGTGGACATCCTTGTCTTGTTCCTGATTTTAGCATGTTTTCAGTTTTGACCATTTGGTATGATGTTGGCTGTTGGCTTTTCATAGATAGCCTTTATCAAGTTGAGATAAAGACCACCTATTCCAGTTTTCTGCAGGGTTTTCATCATGAATGGGTGTTGAATTTTGTCGAATGCTTTTTCTGCATCTATTGAGATTATATGGTTTCTATCTTTGACTCTGCTAATATAGTGTATTACATTTATTGATTTATTTATGTTGAACCATTCTTGCATCCCTAGGATAGATCCAGCTTGGTCAGGGTGTATGATCTTCTTGATGACCCTCTGTATTCTGTTTGCCAGTATCTTATTGAGGATTTTTGCATCTGTGTTTATTTGGGAGATTGGCCTGTAGTTTTCTTTTTGGTTGGGTCTTTTCCTGGTTTTGGAATCAAGTAACAGTTGCTTCCTGGAATGAATTTGAAAGTATTGCTTCACTTTCAATTTCACTGAAAAGTTTAAAGAGTATTGGCAGTAGTTCTTCTCCAAATATTTTGTAGAATTCAGCAGTGAATCTGTTAGGACCCAGGCTTTTCTTTTGGTAAATTTTTAATTATGTTTTCAATTTCACTGATTTAATTGGGGTGTTTAGAATTTTTATATCTTCTTCATTCAACTTTGGTAATTCATATGTATCTAGAAATCTGTCCATTTCTTCTGTATTCTCCATTTTATTAGAGCACAGTTTCTTGAAGTAGGTATTGATGATCCGCTGGATTTCTGATGGATCTGTTGTGACTTCACCTTTTTTTGTTCCTAATTGCATGGATCTGAGCCTTTTCTTTCTTTCTTTCTTTCTTTTTTGATAAGGTTGGCTAAGGGTTTATCAATTTTATTTCTTCTTTCTGATAACCAACTCTTCGATTCATTGATTTTTTTTTTTTGGTATCCCTTTCCATTGTATCGATTTCTGCTCTGATCTTTATAATTTCCTCTCTTGTATGAGCTTTGGGTTTGTCTTGCTCTTCTTTTTCTGGCAGCTTAAGGTTCATCATTAGGTTGTTTATTTGAGCTTGTTCTGTTTTCCTAATGTGGGCATTCACTGTCATAAATTTCCCTTGTAGAACTGCTCTCATTGTGTCCCATAGATTCCTGAATGTTGTATTGGCATTATCATTTATTTGTAGAAACTGTCTAATTTCTTCTTTAATTTCCTCTGTGACCCATTGGTTGTTCAGGACAGTATTATTCAATTTCCATGTGTTTGTGAAGTTCTTGTGGTTTCTTTTACTTTTGATCTCTAGTTAAATTGAACTATGGTCTGATAATATACATGGGATAACTTCAACTCATTTGCATTTCCTTAAACATGTTGTATGAGCTAGTATGTGGTCTATTTTGAAGAACAACCTGTGTGCAGCCAAAAAGAATGTATATTCATATACACACACACACACACACACACACACACACACACGGTCTCACTCTTTAGTTGAGACTGACCTGGAAAATGCACTATGTAGCACAGGACACACACACACACACACACACACACACACACACACACACA